CGATATCTGTTGCATGACGCCGGTCGCCCCTTACGGCCGGATTACGTCCCATTACGGGCCGTAACGCGCCGTTACGGGCCGTTACGGGTCTCGCCAGCCCCGGGAGCTGGGCGGCCCGGGGCGCGTGCGCCGCGTCACACTGTAACGGACAGCGAACGTGACCGATAGCCCCTCCTACCGCGCAGGCTGACCGCCGACCGAACGGCTTGGCTGAAAGTGATCGCAAACGGGAGGCAGCTTCGGAGAACTTCGACAGGCACGCTTCGGAGCGGATTGCCGGAATTACCTGTGCTCAGACTGAATTTCAGCATAGTGTAGGGTGTAAGACTGAGCTGTCGTGTTCTAAAATCACTCACGACAAAACGGTTTGAGGTTTCACGATTAACGGGTGTTCCAGTTTCAATGGGCAGGGGCTCATGAGCAGACTCCGAGAGTTTTTATGAAAATGGCAAACTTGGCACCTTAGCAAACAATGGCATATGACAAGCTATTTCATTTCTGTTTCTGTGTATTTCTGCGTGTTTTTTTTTTTGTGTCTTCAACTCATGACATAGCAGCATTACCGTACAGATCTTGATGGATTGCCGTTTAAAGATCTAATTACTGAGTGATTTATTTTATGTAGGTTCTTACATACATGTGACATCGGCATGTGCCTACCTGACTACCGCTCATTTTTTGTAGTTAATGTGGTCTTTTTGTGAAATTCACAGAGATCAATCTAAGCGGTAAAAATGAAAAGTCTTTTAAATGTGTTATACCTATTGGAAAACTTTTGTTGTTTTCTTTACCTATACCCACACCTACGCATAAAACAATAACTGGAACTCATAATCTGCATTTTTTTGTGTTAAGCACGAACAAACTTTTTACCTATAAATATGCAATGAGTGCATGATTGGTAGAGTGATAAGGTATTCGTTTCCTTACAATTGATAGGCATCGTCTATCCGTTTACCTTTACAGGCCCACAGAACCTAACTGTTCCATTCATAGTCCAGTTCAGTGTGTCCAGGTGTGAATGGGCGTTTAAATGTGTCACCCTTTGTGACCTACCGACTGACCGGTAGATAGTGCGAGGGTGCCGTATTTAGGGACGTCCCTCTCTGGCACCCCCCCCCCCCCCCCCGACACCTGTTCCCCGCCCCTCTGTCCGGTCACCGCTCCGATCAGTATTGAGCGCCCCATTGGCACCCAGCGTACGGCATCCCCGCGTATCCTCTCACCGTCGGTAAAAACGACAGAGATCCATATACATGAACCTGACGCGCGCTGCGGTGTGGTGTGGTGAATATTCAGCGCCCAGCCGAGGTGTCTGCCGCGCCGCCGCCGCACCAGTGATGAATGGGAGTGAAACGTCGGAAAAGACGAAACGCCGCCGCTCCGCCGGCGCATCCTTCTTATCGGTACATGTGGGTAATATCCCCGGCCGGCAGAGACGACTGAGTGGAAAACTGGGTACGGTGTCGGCGGCGCGACCTCTCGGCCGCCGGCGCCGGGCCCGAGCCGCCACGGCCGACCGGCCCCGAATCGGACTGCTCATGCCATCTATCGGAAGATGGCTGAACTAATGCGTGGCCGGCGCTCGTCGCATTCAGCGAGGGCTGCTAAAGGGCGTTGTGTCGTTTGATTTTGACAGCTTGCAATAATAAAAACAAGAAATCAGGCACAAGAGTCTTGTGCTTCTACATAATAGTAATTTGAATTATTAGACCCTATTGCTGCGTACATTTGCGAGCCATAAGCTTCATTTGCCGATTGTCTGTCAATTTCGGCAAACAGGATGACCTTTTTATGCCTGAGTAGGTAGAGACGTTTGAAATATATTTTTCTGCCTACGAGCGGTTTAGTAATTTCATCCCGTACCGCCGATATCTTTCGGGCGCTTAAAGGTAAAAAATACATTTTATATAAAAATACGACATATTTCCAACTAGACGAAATGTTTACTAGACGTTTACCTAACTATTTGTTAATCGTCTAGACGTTTAACAAATCAGTTACACGACATCTGATAATTTTCTCTCTTTGCACGTAAAGCAATTGTAAGCACTGTCTACGGCGCGGGATAAAATGAATTAAACTGCACAGTGTCGGGAGTGCTTGAACCCCCCCCCCCCCTCTAGCCTGGCTCTTGGGCCACGCAGCGACACGCGGTGCGCGGTATCTGAAAGAGCGTCAATAATCATGAAGTAAAGTAGGTATCCACCCCAGTCAATTTTTAAGGTCAGGTCAGGTCAGGTCACCGGGATATATCAAAGGTAGGGAATATTCTGCCTATTTTAAGACTTACACAAATCGGCGCATTACTCGGCCACGAAAAGAACTACTGCGCCACAGAGAAGTGCATTCGATAGCACTTCTAAAGCTTTCTGAGCAATGCTCTCAGATTTGATTTAAAGTCAAGGGTTTACACCATGTTAAAATTGACGTTCTTGCGAAAATGTTTTTCCTTAAAAACTTTCGACAGAGAACTTTCACGACATTGATTTTACCGGTATCGATTTTTCTCGTTGAGACGCGTTGAATGAACAATAATTTTGATTTAGAATGCTATTTTGATTATTTGACCTAGGGTCAAGGTCATGACCTGATGAAAAGATCATGTTGCATATCATTTGATCCATATCGTAGAGCTGATCATGTCCAAAGTGTTTGTATCGCTCTAGCGCATCTCCGTGAGCTCTATCAAAAGTATCTGTCAAATTACTGTTGCAGGAGTCTCTCATGACCTGAGAAGTGAGATGAACTCAGTGGCATAAGGAAGTGGCACACGAGTGCAATTTTCTGGATCAATATGCAATATTTTTCCTGTTATACGATTAGTGGCTCTGCGGGCTATATGGGCAATTAGAATGGGTTCCGTCCAAAACACGTCGCATTCCAATGATCTCCGATGACTTATCGTTGAAAAAACTAGCGGAGAAGTCACAAAGTTGACCTGACCTTATGTCACCGATATCGAAAATGAAAGATAAAAGCTTTATACATTTTGTCATTATTATCAATCGCATAAATCAGTTATTTAGTGTAGCAGTAATGAGCATGAATTTTTTTTAGGTTAGGTGACTTGGCGGCCGCGGGACCTGGCAAACTGCCCTTGAACGACCTGGATGCTTGGATCCGAAATTTTTACGGCACGTGCAGAAAAGATGCATCAAAAGGTGTGCTTTAAGTCGCAGGAGTGGTGTTGAAACAGTTCCTTGGCCGGCGCGGGCTTAGCAAGTCCATCCATGCGTCGCAATGCCGACAGTTTCAGATAGTTTAGATTGGAATCCTGGCACATAAGTAGATAACCGTTATAACTTTACCGGCCTTCGCCAAATAATGAAAATTGATTTGTGTGTTTTTATAGGTGGTAGCCAGTAGGGTTCTGGTCTGTTTTACAAACACAACATTGAAGGGAAATGATACATTTGGTACACTTTCCACACATAGTTTGCATATCACCCTCATGCTAATCCGGATCCCCTCCCGTCCCCATCCCGTCCACACATATCGCCATGGGCTCCTGGCAGCTCCCCTCTCCCCCGGCCGCCGAGTGGGGGAGGGGTGCAGGGGACGGCCGTCCGAGGGGAGCCGAGTGATGATCCGCTCCTTGCACGTCACTCGCACGTGGCACAGACGGACGCACAAGTGGCGCGTCGGCGGCGACAGCGGCGCGCCGGTGATGGTGGCGGTCGGCTCTCCATGTCGGCGGCAGAGCGGGGACGATGACGGACGGCTGCCGATCCGGCCCGCCGCCGCCTCCCCTGGAGAGGACGCCCGTCACAGCCGCCTCCCCCTCTGAAGAGCGCGCCCGTCACACTCGCGTCGTCTCGCGGAGAGGAGCTCACCCGTCATCGACGCTCGACGCTGCGACTGTCTCCGGCAGCGCGAGCACAGTCAGAGTTACGAGTCGGAACGAATTCCGTCCGAGAGGCGGATCGCTTCTTTGTTAGAATTCGCATGGAACAGACAGAAAAGATACTCGAAACAGAATAATTGGCTGAATGCCATTTTCCTGTTTCTGAATTCCCAGGTCAGATTGACGGTCTGATCCAGTCGTGCAATAAGAGGAAGCCAGTACCTACACTTATATCCACGCAAAGTTCTTGAACTTTTAGGGATGTCCACCAAATCAAGAAGCTGTAGGTACTCCAGACTCCTTCAGCACAGTGACACATGGCGTATGTACAGGCAACGTCAACAGTCAAGTTCATAGATAAACATATTTTCCATATTTCTGTATATTTCAATACATTCTGAATAAGCTGAGAAGTGGCAGACTGCTGTCCGTCTGCCGGAAGGGAGTCGTTCTGGGTAAGCCGCTCCTTGTTTTACACGAGTTCAAGGGGAGCGTGTTGACAGCTCCATCCACCAGAGCGGTCCAGCTGCAGGTGATCGGGCACGTGCGGCATGTTCGCTCAGCGAGATGGAACGCCTCGATGAAAAGGCGAGCACCTCCGCTGAAGTGACGCGCCGGAGCGGCCCGTATCGGAGACGGATGACGAGCAATGGCGCGCAGACAGCGCCGCATTCGTCACACTCGCCGCGGCCGCCTTATCACTGCACCGCGCCGTGTTCGCAGCACGTGCGCCGTGCTCGCCGCCGCCGATATGCGTCGCGTGCACAATATTCGAGACAAGTGCGGCATTCCCGCAGTGACGGGAGACTGCGGCCATCACTCACCACTGATGCATCGACCCAGGTAATAGTGCGAATACTGCGACCGGTGTAAAGAATAGCTTGTCGCGAATGCCATTAAACTGTATCAATGAAACTTATGCAGTGGCCTTGAAGAATTTGGGTGTAACCTTAAGCATTGTTTAAGTTGTCACCGTTATCATAAGATCATATGATTAGAGATATCATCAGAGTTCTTGATAACTCTGATGTCTAAAACCTATTTTAGACGTTATTGTCATATTCAAAGTAAAAAAACCATGATCTTAGTAATTAAATACCTATAGTTTATATGTCATCGCTAAATGCTGATGAATCATACAAAAGTCGTCATAGATGATAGCAAAACGTTTATTTACACTTACAGCGGAATCACTTCTTGACTTCTCGGACATTGGTGCTAGTTATTTACTTGAGTTACGTTTTATGACGGTTTCTAACTAGCAAAAAAAAAAAACACAGACGTGACATTTCTAATGTCATACAATGTATAAGGTGCACGATGCGTACTATATATGTACAATATACCTACATATAAGCAAATCATATTCAAAACGGTGTATATCTGAAATCAGTACTGCTCGAGATCCTCAATGGCAGTGTTAGGACCTCAAATCACCACAGCAAGCATAACTGTATTTCCTCAGGCACGGTCCATTTGGTGCTCATAGGTCTGTCTATGATTGAGGATCTGAGAAGAGGAAATAAATGAAATCATGTGAGCATACACCACATTCACAAAGAGTATCTACAGATTATGTAATATCAATATGCAGAGGCCTTAGCCATCGACTACGGGGCATGACAAAGTAGGTCAATTTGCATTGCATGTCACATCGGTGACCCTGCACTTCGCACACTTTGTATCTAATGAGTCGATCGCTTATGTCATACCTAATATCACAAGCAGGAATGTTGCAGCTTCCATTCCTCGTTCTTCCCTGTTAACCATAAAAATAAGCTGGGTGTGGCCGGTAATCAGGCAACAAAAAACTACTATGGCAAGGAATATGGCCGGTAATATTCTACATTCTGTATATTCCACACCTACAAACTGGTAGGGTGAAAACTGACCGCGCTTGCCACATGCCATTATGAACAGAGCTATCAGGCTGGAAGCTGTATTCACTGCGATAGTTCCCTGTCTTGTCCAGCACTGTGCAAACAACGTTCGTCTTTTCCACGTGGCTTCTGCTCGGATCATTTCAACTTCCATCCACTGCCGAGTTTCACCACTGACTGCCGGACAAGCCTAACTCTCTATCTCTCGTCCCTGGCTGACCTGACCTCTGACCTCGATGGCCATCATCACCGAAAAGCAGTCTGTCTGCTCGAGTGCTCCTGTTCAGTCCCTTCTCGGCTGCACCGGCGGGCTGTAGACGTCCGCGCTGAGGTTGGCCGCCGCCTCCTGAGGCAGCGTCTCCAGATACAAGTCGTCCCCGATGCCCGAGTCCTTGCTGGGCTTGCCCTGGTGCGGCGCGGCCCATCCAGAGCGGGCGGGCCCGGCCACCGGTAAGACCTCCTCGTAGAGCTGCGGCGGCACCTCCGTGTAGTCGCTGGCCGTGCCGTCCGGCACCAGGTAAGGGTTCTCCCCCTCCTCGGCGATTCCCTCGGGCGGCTTCTCGGCGCCGCGCAGCTCGGCGCCCGCCCCGGACAGCTTCCTCGGCGGCAGGCTCTGCAGACTGCCGTAGATGGGTAGCCGGATGCCGCCCTCAGACACACACCTGTTGAGGACTTTGTTCTGTGCGGCGCGGCATGGGCCCGGGGTCGAGCCGGGCGGCGGGTCGGGCGCACGCCGCTTCTTGTAGACGATTGTAGCGTACAGGCCGTCGTCGTCTTCACCCTCCAGGGTGACGTAGTGTCCCAGATGGTGGGCGTCCACGCCGGAGAGCCCCGAGAGGCAGGGGCTGGAGGGAGCGGTGACCGGGCGGCCGGCGCCCGCGGCCGACGCCGAGTGTTTGGAGATCGGGGAGCTGATCCCGCTGGTGTAGAGGTTCGTGGGCCGGCGCAGGCGGGGCTGCTGCAGCTTGGTGGTGGTGACGCCGCGTCTGCGGTGGAAGCACCAGCACAGCAGCAGCCCCAGAAGCAGCACCAGCACGGCGGCTGCCAGCGTGGCGGTGGCCAGCACCAGCGTGGACCTCAGCCGGGCGCCGGAGCAGTCCTCGAGCTGCGCGAACTCGGCCATCGGCACCGGGCCGGCCGGCGTGCGGCAGAACGAGCCGCGCAGCAGCCGCTCGTAGAACACCTCCAGCACACTGGGCCGCTGCCGGCGCTCGAACATGGCCAGCCAGCCGACGCCGTCACACGGACATTGAAACGTGTTGGCCATCAGGCTGTAGCGCGCGCACGGGTCAAAGTGCAGCGCGCCGAAGGTCGGCGGCACGCGCACGTCATTGTCGGCGAAGCTGACTTGGCCGCAGAAGCCGCGGAAGGCGGCCACGTGCGGCACGTGCAGCGTGTTGTTGAAGATGCGCAGGGTGCCGCCGGCCACAGAGAACACCTCTGGCTGGAGGAGGCCGACGGTGTTGCCGGCGAACGCCAGCTGGCAGGAGGAGCTGCGCACGGTGACGGCGGCCCGCTCCATCTCGCCAATCAGGTTATCGGTGAACAGCAGCGACGGAGGGCTGTGAACACGGTGGATGAATCAGAGGCTGGTTAAGTGTGAGGTAAGCACTGTTTCAGATTCAGCTTTATCAGAGGAAAGCCTTAAATGTCATACTATTTAATCGCACAACTGTACTGTGGTAAGACTACAAGCTGCTGGCGGTTGCACTACACGCTGTTTACATGTTCAGCCCTATCTCTCACTTCCTGCGTCTGCACGCTCACCTCTGTCCCGGCACATCCTCTATGGAGAGGGCAGCTGTTCGCAGCGTGTCCAGGCGGCACTTCCGCACGGTCACCTCGGGCCGGCCGGCGGCTCCTTCCGGCGGCGGCAGAGGCGGCACGTCGCCCGGCGTCGGCGGAAGTCCGGTGACCTCGCTGACCTGGCAGTCGTCCAGCGTCAGCCGCGAGCCGGCCGGCAGTGGCGGCACGCGCAGCACACCCACCCGACTCTGACGGACCGTCAGCAGCAGCGGGTGTGGCGCCGGCGAGAGCTGCTCGCCGTTCAGAGAGCGCAGGTTCACCCGCTCCAGGTGCCACTCTATGGAGAGAAACACCGGGGATCGTGTCAGATCAACATCCGGTGCGGATTACACCATCGTCCCCACTGCAAGTCACTTGAGGAACGTAATGTGCTAAAAAATAAGCCGCGCTCGAATACTCGAATAAACCAAACACGAATACAATCAAATAGCATATAGTTACGTTCATCAACCAATTAGACATTTCTACGCAATCCTTGTGTGCCCCTTGGCACTGGGTATCTCGTGACGCCACCCTCAGAGCCGCGCCCGTGCCGCTGTCCGTCCCAGTCCGGCCGGGGGTCGGCGGCCGGACGAGCCTCCTCTGCTGTGTCACCGAGCGTCCCCAGCGGCCCGTTTGGCCGCGGCGCAATGGCAGGATTAGCCACCGGCATGGAGCCATCTGCAAATTGATTGCCCACTGTGCAGCGAGACGGCCGCGCCAGTGGCGGCGGGGAGACTAGAGAGCTGGTGGCAGCGGGGAGACGGCCGCGCCGGTGGCAGCGGGGAGACTAGAGAGCTGGTGGGGGCGGGGAGACTGTCGAGCTGGTGGCAGCGCGGCGACTCGACTGAGCTGCTGCGAGGGGCTGGTGGCAAACTGACATCCCGGTGAGCAGTGCTGGTGATAGGTATAAGGAGTTAGGAGACTACTGCTGGTGAAGACATTTGTGCTGGTGAGATGAATGTGTTGCCTGCTGGTGACGAGGTCGTGCTTCTGGTATGATGGTCTGTGTTACTGGATTAGGTATGTACCACAGATTAAGGTAACTGTTGAGAGCTGAGGACGAGGTTGTAGGATTGTGAAGATATCAAACGGTTAGTTTGGGTAATATTTATTGGCTAGTACAGAGGCAACCATACCAGTGACAATGCGCAACTGAGACACAGATGCTCTTATATGTATATGAAGTGTTGCTTATGCTATACATTATAATGGTAGTAGGTAATAGGTATGTCTACTGCTGCGAATCTCCCCGTCTTGCGTCTGAAACTTAAATCTTGTATTCCCGAAATCCATTAAGCTCAGCAACATTTAACCCTCGCCGGACCTATTGGTTTTCTACATACGCGCCGGCCGAGGGGGGGGGGGGGGGGCGGGTACGACCCCCCTCGCCGTTTCGCCCCTGGTAGAGCTAGCGCGTCGCGGAAAAAACGAGCGTGTGCGCCGTTACGAGACGCAGAGATTGGTACCCGAGTTTAAGGTCCTAGGTCAACCGGTGACCTCTGAGGTCAGGTCAAGTGCCCCAAGGTACGGTTCAGTTTTTGGTGAATAACTTCGCAAAAAACGGCCGCAGAGCGCCGATTTTGGCAGCATCGTGTTCGTCTCGCTCAGGCGCGTCGAATGATATACTTTTTGTCCGGGTCAGGTCAACTTGGGGTGTTGACCTCAGGTCAAGGTCAGGTCAGCACCCCCAGGTCACGAAGTTGGTCGAAAGAGGTCATGTCGCATATCATTCGATTCGGCAGGTCTTCCTGAGTCCATTGGTGGCTTTCCCGACTCGCTAGCTCAATTTGATCAAGAGTTATTGACGAAAAACTAATATGACCTTGATGACGTCATAAATGACGTCACGCAAGGTCAACATTGCAAAAGCGACGCATCTAACCTTGCAAGGAGTGCATAAAATCACGATTCTGTGTGCTTGAGATAGTTGGAGATCGTTCCCGGCGCCAGAATAGCAGTTTTCATTTTTCCCCATTGACTTATAATGGTGAGGTCACGAAAATGACCTGACCTCATATGACCTTTAGGAAACATCCGAGATATACAAGTTGTGGGGCTCATAATGGATACTAGATCCTGCAAGTTTCATTTCCCTGTGACATCTCCTCTGGCAGTGAGGGCGTTGCGAAGTTGCGACTTCTGAAGACCGTGCAGAGGTTCACTTATGACGTCATAGGTCAGTGACCTGACCTGACCCAAAAATGCGGTTGGTGTCAAAAGATGCGGCTTGGATCAAAGGTCAGGTATGCCAAGTTTCAGCTCTCTATCGCCAGCGTGTTCGGAGCTATCGCGAAAAAACCCTATGGGGGGCGGCACCCGCCCTCCCCCCCTCGGCCGGCGAGGGTTAAGCGAGACAAGTCACAGATAGAACGAAAATAGTTGCACACACTGAAATGCACAACCAGAATCCAGCCAAACTTAATTTGGCCCTATATCCTAAAGCATCTTGTGAGCTCGGCCAACATAGCTATACAGTTGACTTTGGAAGACTGGGGTTCTCTGTGTTTGAGGTCACTGAACTTAACGGAGCTCAGTAGTTCAGAAACTTCTCGCTACGCATGGGGAGCATTGCATAGGCAATGAAGCTACTACTGCGAGTGGAAACTGAGGATTTTCCGCAACGGTGACATTGAGCCGAGCTGTTTATATCACAGAAGTGCTGTGCTGCAGGCTGCTGCCTGGTTATTCAGACTATACATGGTCAGTGCCCAGAGGACACCGCTGTTGACTGACGCGTTATAGTACGTCCTTATAGCGCGTCTATGCATAGTGTGCAAGGCGGTATAACACCTCTCATGGTCGCTCACCGGTGGGGAAGGTCTTCTCGCTGGCGTAGAGCGCGTCCACCAGGGTAGCATCCCTAACGATGAACATGACGCAGGGCCTGCCGTCGGCCGGCTGCTGCAGCTTCAGGTCCAGGAAGGAGGGCAGCACCCTGACCGTGCCGCGCGTCTGCAGGTCGATCTCGAACCGGGTGCCCGGCTCCGGACGGGGTGTGATGACGTTCCAGCGCAACACCACGTCCTGCAACAGTGCGATGGTTTGAATTGGGTTAGCGTTAATGTGAGTGCTTAGCGGCAGGGCTAGAGCTGCAATGTGTCCCTCTGACCTGTCATTCTAGGTGCAGTACGATTCAGTGGCATGTAAAGAACGACTCGCGAAGATCAGACGTAGTTCGAACGCAGTGATCAGCCGCTGAGCGGTGATTAATGGTGACATAATGTCTCTCTGACAAGTAGATTTATCTTGCTAATTTAAAATGTAATCGAACACCTAGTACGTGCATTCTAGCTTGTGGCATTGAGCGTTGAAAATGACAGAGCACAGCTGGTTTGGACACCTGTATGTTAAATAGCCAACATCACTGCATGGTGCTACAATATGCACATGTTAATGAGTGTCGTTAATTCTAAACCTAAGTACACGAAGGCTTAAAAAGTATATTTTTAACTGAGTATGCTTCCATCGAACCTTGAATGTGAATAACCCTGACACCTACGCATTTGTCTTTGATAAAGAAACGCTCTGTAGGCGAACAGTCGTGCATGCTTCCCGATTTTATTACTTTTTTTAGTTGTTTGCCATTGTAAACAAGTCATCAAGTTATGCTAATCCAACTATTTTATTTGATATGATATAACAACAAACTAGAAGTAAAGAAATGCAGGGAGATGCAGCTAACCGAGAGGGAATACGTTTGCATTTACTTTTTGTAGTCCGTTGAGGCAGCGACATCAAAGATAGAACAGTTTTGAGTAGGAAGTAAAAGAATAGTTCGTTCTCACCATTCACCTGTATGTATGAAGATTGTGGAGGCATCATGCACCCCACCCGAAAAGTCCCTAAATGGCTAAACAGTAGCCTGTTATTACCTGAACGGTGTCTGCCGTGACTATGAAGAAGGTGCCACATGGCACTTGTCATACACCACCCCTGTTCCCACACTGGCAACGGTTTAGTGATTCATCAACCAGCGCTGAGTACCAAAAGGACAACATGACGCGATGCCCCTTTTTTGTATGTTCTGCAAAATAGTGACCATTTCACGCAACTGTGGGGCTGCCCGTCGCCCGGCGCCGCCTCGGCGGGCGGCGGCTTGGGTCACCGATGGATATCAGCCGGCGTCCAGCCGGTGTCCAAGTCCGGTCGGCAGCGCTGTCCTCCGATAGCGAGCGCGATTTCGGGGGCGGAACACGGTCCTGCCATACCGCGGTCACCGACATGCCTAGATAAACCCGCCGCTCGGTTGGCCGACGCGGGAAAACCCTGCCGACGTCGACACGGCGCTGCCGTGCTGCTGTTTTGTCGGCACAACGGTCCATGTCAGGTCAGGTGACTCAGCTGAGTGTGTCGAACGGCGAATGAAACGAGTGGGCTGTCGAGGGGTGGGACTGGGATTTGGTTTGTGGTATTACTCAATTCTTTTAAATAGCTCCGGCAAGCAGTCGCGAAGGCGATTAAGGATAGATGTGTTTCATCGAAATTTGCTTCGAGTTCCAGTGGTCAGTGCCTATCAGTTACCACTTCAGGTGATGAGCAGAAAGTCATGGCAAAACTGTCTAGCCTACCCAACATAACTTAAACGATTCGTGATATTGAGGTACTTATAACAGTGTAGTCGTCTGTATTCCATGTAATTTCATTCGAGCTCTTTGATGTGTTTTCATCTTTTGGAAGCTATTGGAGTTGCAAAATTTTCCCCAAAGGCTGCTACCGGCCCCACACAAAATTTATGGGATACGATACCGGCATGCTACCACACCCTAAGCAAAAAAAAAAAGAAGATCAGCATGCCTTGCAACTCTAGAAGATTCAGATTCAGATTTTATTGAACAACAGTCCTCGACATGGTGCGGGCTTTTCACTGTGTTTCGTCAGCTGGGAAGCTATGCCTACCTAGGGCTCTGCTTCTTTATGCCAAAGTAAGAGCATCGGAATTTCGTACTTATGTGAGTTTTATCACCCCAAACAAGACACATGACTAGCAGATGGCAAACGAAATGATGCACGTTAGAGGTCACAGCCCTTGGCGATATGCATGCATTCATCCTTGAGGTTGTTAGCAACGCCATTTTACATGCCCGTCGTGCTCTGCTGCAGCGAAAATCTCTGGAATGTCAACACTGGTCCGCCATTCTTGACCCGCACCTGTCATCCGTCTTCTCCGAGCGGACAAAAATAGTTTGGCCGCGTTACACGCATTTCTGATTGACGATATGACCGCTGAATGTTTGGCTACGGACGCAACTTGCACGTTTTCCAACTGATCGGGTACATTTAGAGACGTGAAAGAATGCGAAATATCGACACATAACTGTGTGAAGATTGGCGAAATCGATTGACAGCTGAAGTCTGAGGGATTGCTATTGCGAGAGTGTAAAGCAGACATTCTACGAAGGATTCTGCGATGAGTTATTGGTGACACTTGAAAAAGTGGTGTTTGAGATAGAAGCTGAATACTAAAAATGCCTGTGCAGTGGTCAGTGGTGCATCCCTCGGGCGCAAAGGCAGTGCAAGATGACCGAGGATATCAATACATCAAGGGTAAAAAGTCGGCAGGAATAAGCATGGAAAATAAAGAGATATTGATGGACGAAAGGGACTCAGCTCAAAGACTGAATTGTGAATTTCGATGAGATATGAATAAGTTACAGGCTACGGCGAAAGAAAGGTAAACTAGCAGAACTAAGATAAGCGATGATTGTTGTGGCCGCCCGTGATGGGGAAGCAAGGGCTGAATCCGACCTCCTCAGTCGAGGGCTGAAGGTCTAGCTGGGTTACCTGTCCCTCTGGGGAGGGGGTTCGGTCGTACCGCGCACATGTCCTGGTGGAGGGGGTCAGTCGTACCGCGCACATGTCCTTCTGGGGGAGGGGGTTCGGTCGTACCGCGCACATGTCCCGGCCAGCACCAGGTGGCAGTGATGCGGGTGACGGTCGCTGTGCGCCAATTTGCATAGATGTAACTGCCGATAGCGTTCACCGGCAGGATCGCCCTGAGGAAGTGAACCCGGCGACCGCTAACGACTGCCATCCGCACTGGTTTGCAGCGTCAGCGGGAATTCCGTGGGACAAAATTTGCATGTAACGAATAGTTATGTTTTTGTTACATTACCGAATAGCGAGCAGGATCTTGTTAAAATGTCTTAAATGTAAATTTTCACGTGATAATCTTTTGCAATTCCTTTTGAGCTACATGATTTACGACATGATTGATAATTTAGGACAACTATAGGCTGTGTACTTACTTGCCGAAAGGGGATAAGTAAGACAATTCGTTATTATGTGCAAGCAAATACCAGCTTCATAATGCCTTTGAGGAAAAGCAACGACTTGTATAACCGTTATTTCGGTTCTAATATGAAACGTGTTGGCTTCTCACCATGAACACAGAGCCATCGAGTAATGAGCGTCACTGCCATCCAGGGCCTATTTTAAATATTTGTTATCTCCCGCTGGTCAGAGTCAGGGATGACATACCCTGACTCCAAGTGACCTCTTCGAAGTTGGCTCGCCCCCGGCTCTGGGGCTGCTCTCACTGCTTGCCCACCTGCTGCTCACGCTGTACGAGCCCACTGCTCGTAAGTCCACCGTGCCGTTCCTCAAGGTGTCCCGCTCTGTTACCGAGTTTCTGACCCACCTGGTTGCCGTAGCGGCACTGGATGTCCACGGTGCCGTTCCTCAGTGTGCAGTGGCAGTGCAGCTCATCCTGACAGGAGACGGTCAGCGCCGGACCGGTGTCTTCTGTGTCTATCCCTGAGTCCAGCCCGTCCTCAGCCGGCTCAGTGACGGGGGCGACTGAGGTCACGGCTGGCACCGCTCCGGTGGGAGAGGTCACCGGCAGGTCACCGGCCCAGGTCACCGCGAGCAGCACAGAGCTCAGAAGAGGGATGATGGCGGCCATCGAGACCATCCCTCTGCTTCCACCATGAAGGGTCATCAATATATCACGTATGCACTAGCGTCCCGGGTAACACAGTCACGAGATAAGTCACGAACACGAGCAGAAACAGTCACGAGTCATCACAGGACGGCCATCACTGCCATGACCGGTCTCACAGTGGCGTTACGCCGATCGCACAGCTGTGCTCTGCTGCTCAGCCCCAAATCTGACCCGAATGTGTGCCGCTGCCGGATGACTCGTCTGGCTATCTGTGCTGTGTTTCCTGTCCGGCTGTGGAGAGGCGACAGCGTGGTCGGCTCACACAAAGCGCCTCTAGCCGCGGCGGTGAGGGACCGCGGTCGGGCTGACTTCACGAGGAGCCTCGGCTGACACCAGCCGGTACTGAGGACACCGGTCCCCGGAACTCTGACAAACGCGGCGCAGTGCGGCCGTATCGGCGACAGTTGCGCCGCAGGAGAGGAAGGAGGTGGAAGCAGATGAGTCAGAGTTCTCATGTTGACAGCCTGTTTGTGTCCGTACGACCTCTGTCTGCCCACACAGATGAGCTCAGTGGTGTAAACTGCGGATGTCTGCTGAAGCGCTGAGCTCATGTGCGACTGATATATGTGTCGCTGTCGCAGTCTACATACACTGCATTACTTGAACAAGAGCAGTAAGCATTTACTTGTATTGTTAATCTCTGAGTCTCTCATTTAACACGCGCAGTGGAAGGGGGGGGGGCGGATTTCGCCCACCCCTCCTGTTTTTCGCCAATAACTCGCGCCGCAAGCATAATATCAATGTGAAATTTCGGCTACCTGTCCAGAATTGAATTGCGGATCTTCTCGTGCAAGAAGTAAGAAAATCGGTTCACAACTTTTCTAGTAATAGCGGTGTAAAGTCAAACATCCTGCCGCCGCGGCGGCGCGGCGGCGCGGCGGCCGGCGCTAGCCGTTACGCGCCGCCTGAATTGTAGACTGTGCCGGGGCGGGACGGTTCCGTCTTTACATTGCGCTCCTTACCGCTGATTATATTAGATTCGCGTCAAATTCGGTGAGAAGACTGATAAATGTACGGGCAATCATATGGTCAAAGAATTTTGAAAATCGGCCGGTAACAACTTGAGTTATGAGTGTGTAAACACAAAATTGTGATTGCCGCGTTTCCCGCGTCGGCCGATGCCGCTTCAGCCGGCGACATCTTATCCTTAGCAGGCTTCTAACTGCCATATTTATTGTTGGATTATCTAGAAATTCACCATACATACTCACAAATGTTTGCTCTTTCGTATACTGAAAGATTTAAAAAAATCGGCCGGTAACTTTTTGAGTTATCGGCGTGTAAACGCAACAAAGTCGCTAATATGGCAGATTTGACCACATTTGACCTCATTTGACCTTGAAGATATTGACCTAGGGTCATGAAATTCACACACAACAGAGTTCCCCATGGCCCCCACCTACCCTCCAAATTTCATCTTTCTAGCTCCAGTGGGAGCTGAGATCTTAGGGGGGGGCGACATCCGCCCCCCCCCCTTCCACTGGGCGTAGTACTCGCAACCCTTCCACTGCGCGTGTTAAAGAAGCATGACTTTACCAAATAAGCGCAAGTCGCACACGCACGATTTTTATTTTCTTATGCATGCTCGACATGAATATTACCACAGCCGGCGTGGCTAAGCTTGCCGATCTTTTGTCAGAAAATCAGCAGCTTACTCACGTTTCCAGGTTTTACAAAGAAATTAGGAAGGAAAGATATAACTTATAGGTATTATAAGCAAATACACAAGCTACTAGTCTTATGTAGAGTCTGTGGTATACTCTGAATATCTGCCTGCTGTCGTTCCCACTACGCCCCCTTGTTACATTGTCTTTCATCTCCCATCTTTCGGCAATTATAGGATCTCCTTTCAGAAAAAAAATGGTATTTGGGGGAACTGGGGTGGCCTTTTGTACGCAGTACATTGCTTTGGCTCTCCGGGTCATTACAATTGCAAATATGCTGCCCCGTTGTATCTCATTCATAGTTTTGCATAGGAAGTAGGTTTGGACTTGGGCAGGGCATGCAGTCGCAGCATCAGTCTGCTCCCGGTGCGTGGCGGAGACGAAGCCCCGTGTCTGTGAGCGCGAACGTGAGGGCAAAGTGTAATCGGCCGCTCGGGCCGCCGCGCCGTGAGAGGAGTGCCGTACCTGCGAGTCGGCAAAGTCGGCACTGCGGCCGCCGGCCGACCGGGCCCGGGCCTGCCGAGCGGTGACGTCACGGGCAGAGCGGCCCGGCCCCGCCCCCAGCGCTGCACGTCTGCACCCCGAGGAGCAGCGGGGCCCCGCAGCACCACTGCCACTGATGGCGGCGGCCCGACGTCAGATGACGCCCAGATGACGTCAGATATCGCCGAGATGACGTCAGTTACCTGTCGCCAGAGCACACTGAAACCTGAGCTCTCCAGCCGGCCTCGCTGGAGTCTGATGGATACCGCAGCTGGCTAGAGGAAGGTGATGCTGGAATATTACACGGGTAAACATTGTGTAACGTGCATCATTGCGACAAATTACTGAAGTGGCCTGTGAAAAATTCAAATGTGTATATTCGTGAAAATCCACTAAATGCAGTGTCTTTCTCTGCCATCTTCATTTCTCCGCTAATTATATGGTACTGCTTTGAAAAGCATTGATTAACTCATGATGGCTCATGCCACCCAGCAGCGTTTTGCAATGGCTTCAACATTTGCTTGCTATTAAAACATTAACGACCGAACATTTATCATTTCACGGCTGTAGGACAGCAATGTTTGGGTTCGGGTAACTTTGAACCTCGCATCAAAAGTGGCCTAAGATGAGCATCAGCGCAATGCTGGTATAATTATTATAGCTATATTCATTTTTTGATAGTGATAAGGGATAATTAATTACTTTTGAATATTCATTTTATTGCATAGTTTCTTCCATTGTATGTAAGTGCAGGTGGAGCAAACGCCAACGTTGCGTAGCGTCTGATTTGATCAAAAAGGGAATAGGGCTGAGCACTGAGCAGTAGGTAACATTTATCTAGCCGGACATTACACAAATTACACATTTGTATTTGAAGACAGACATAGTTTTCAAGAAATGTTTTTCGTTCAAAACTGTTTTGCGAAGAAGGATAGCAAAAACATATTAGGCACAACTAAAGATTGTCGTGATGCAGCTTTTGTCGCGTTTGTTCAAGAACTCTCCGTTGTCTATTCGTCCCCTTTCTGGTTTCTTTCTCTCTTCATTTCTCTGTCTCTGGTAGCGTATCCGGGACACCTCATCCATCTCGGGGCTCGTCGAGCCTTCGTCGGCCGCGCCGGCTCCGGCGCCCCTCTGCCCCGGCGAGGGGACCAAATCCTGCAGCGGGGCGGCGCGTGGTGCCCGGCTCTGGCCGTAATACCCGCACGCAGCACGCCTCATTTGGGCCGCCGGCGCCGCGCCGCGCCGCTTGCCGTCGGATTAGTCGCGCAGAGTTGCCAAACTTAATAAATCCGCAAATGATTGGGCCCGAAATGAAACGAGAGCTATTCTAGTGTGAGGATTGTCTAGATTAAAGCCGCGGAGCCGGTGGAAGTGTGAGAGCGGCGCAGCCATGGGTGTGGGAAGTGGCACCGGACGGCCGCCGCGGCGAAACGGAAACAATACAGCCTTGCAGCGGGGATGGGCGCTTCTAGCCGCCGTTAATAATAAACTAAGATGGATTAGCCATGAGTTAACTTATTCTATTGAGGGATATTTCAGCAGGTCGCCAGTTAAAACGGTTGGATGAAAAAATAATTACATCTTAATTTCACACGTCTGAAATATACTTTATTAGGTACTCCGGCTGTTTCTGATATTAGACATTTTAGGTTGGCATGAAGATGCGGTATGAGCCTTTTTACCTACATATACTTTGTCGTAGACAGACTGTCAACAGAAATACGACTACTACGCCGAACATTTGCTCAGCCTGTCGACATGCCAGCCTCTCGTGAGGTACAACAAAGCCGGCGACGATGATGTCATTTGGACCACTGAGCGACAGCGTCTGAATACCGAGTGAGCGAACACGATGTGTCACACTTCCTCTCATTCCGCTCTCAGCATGATAGCGCCCAGTTCCACGCCGTAGTTCAGCGCAGAAGGGGAGGGGGTCTAAGGATAGGGCGACTCATGGATCGCCACTGGTATGTGATTAATGATGGGTGCTTGGGCGGTCATGCTTTTCGCAAGTCGCCGATTCAGGGTTATTGTTTTTGGTTGCCATTGTTCGGGAACTCGTGATTCAGCTCAAGCGCGCCTTGGCATCCCCGGTCTAGTCATGCGTCATATGCAGTTTTAACCAGTTTGATAAAAGTATAGATGCATTGAAAGTGCTCCTGACAGTTCTTCAAAGTATGCATAATGCGGTTTACAAAATACGAGCAAACTTATGTCAAATGAAACGACTTCACAAACGCAAGGCAACTTACTTTTCAGCTTCCTACCTATAGGTACACACATGGTATACAATTGCACATGTTGTTGATTGTGACATCTCTGCAGCTTCGCTTATTTGTGTATACCTTCCGCTGTTAGACAAAAGCAACAACTATATAGTTATCGATGGTAATGCATATGTGTGAAATCTCACAATTTTATATCCGTACCATATAAGTTTCGATTGAACACAAGCATTTGTAGCAATGTAAAAAGTAGGAAAAGCGGTATGTTATCATGTGAGCTATTTTGCGAAATAACTTTTTAAGTCTATCAAAATGTCGCTTAAATTTTGTCGGCTGCTCACATCCCACTGGAAAATCTATTATTTCATTGTTTTATATTCGCTATAGCTAAGCATGCTAAGGCGGCCATCGAACAGCTTCCAGGGTCTCGAATCCGGCCGACTTCGGCTCAGCCGAGGAGCGATTGAGCTGATCTTCTGAAGCTTCGGCGGCTGCCCCCGCTGCGCGTCCTCCAGCGCTCAAAGCCGAGCCTTCCGCTGCGGCCGGTACGCCGCTCCCGGCGCCCGTCTCTGCGCCGCCTCCCCGCTGACTGCCCGAGGGACGCGCCGCCGCGCCTCCGGAACAGGGCATGTTTTATGTGGGTGTTAATCACCCATTGGCAGCGCGGCACGCCGCCGAGCGACGCCAGCGATCAATACCCCATCTCCTTCTACCTGCCGCGCGTCAGGCGGCGACAGACTCATTCACATTCAAATTCCTTAACGAAGTTGCCTGATTTGCATAAAAATGTCTTGTAAATATCATCGGGTAGCGAGCGACGGGATGGAGTCTGACCTGGGTCAAAGATTCGCGTTTGTTTGCAGCCGAGATGTGAGCCATGCTGAGACACTTGGCTGGAAGTGGAGTGATGTGAATCAAGACGCCATTTTCGGATCTGAGACGAGCTCCGGCTCGGACCGGATGGCTGCCGTCAGTCTCACATTGTCAGCA